TGAATTTTCATTTCGAAGACCCTTCAAACAACCAAACAATATCATTCTCTTCAAACAACCAAACAATATCATTCTCTTATTTGCTGTCGTCGTTTGGTTTTGATCAACATGTGTCTTGGATGTTATAGTTTCAAAACCGAGTTACTGTGTTCTTGATTTTTGGGTTGATCCACTTATAATTTCAAAACATAGATTGGTTACTTGTTTAGTTTGCATAAACTCGTATTAACCAGTAACTCAATCAATTTCAACAATGAGAAATTTTCATCAAATTGATTACACAAAATTCATCAACGACATTATTACAAGTGATCTATGTTATTCAGACGTGTACCTAAACTGTGATGTAGATGCCCTGATCAACCTCCGTCGACCCCTTGATCAACATATTTCCCAAAATTAAAAAAGCTATAAGCACAAAGTAATTTCTGGTTTGATTATAAGTGTTTGACAAAGAAAAGTCATGTGCGTAAACTAGGGAGAATGTATTGCTCAACAAAAAGTTTTAAAAACTACGAACGTTTGAAACTGGCCTCAAAAGAAAAACATGTGTTTTTATGAAAAACAGAACAGTGTTTAATACAAAAACTGATAGAATTTAAAAAATCCCAAAAATTGGTGAGTGTTGTTTTATTTCTCATTAAAAATATCTCTCCAAATTCAACAAATGGTTCCATAACAGCCTATGGCTATCAGCGATATTTTGCAAAGAAATCCAGCACAACGTTTGGCAATGGCATTCTTCCTGATTTTCAAATGGTTAACTTTCGTTTTGACAGCTTCAACAAAATTATACTAGATAAAATTAAAAATGTAATTTTGTCGTCACTAACAAAACCTTGTCGTTTTGATTCAATGCCAACCTTTATTGTCAAAACATCGTTGGGTACACTGCTGCCATTTTATCATGTTATCATTAACAAATGCATTCAATCGTCAATAATGCCAAGATCATAAAAAATTGCAGTTGTTTCGTATCTGTTAAAAAAGCCTGGGTTGTCACTAAACGTCAAAAGCAGTTTTAGGGCAATTTTTCACTTTCATATCAAAAAAATCATTTTCTGGTATTTGAATAAAAACGCACATTTTTTTTAAAGTTTCAATCAGGCTTTTGCCTTCATCATTCAACAAAACAGCGTTTATGAAAGTAAATTCAAATATCTGTGAATCATTCAATAAAGATAATGTTGGTTTACTGGCCCTACTTGATGTTGACGCAGCATTTGAAACTGTTGATCAATATACGTTACTAAGACTGCTTTTATTACCCTATGGTATCATACTTTTCTCAGAAAACCCAAATTATTACCGTGGGTACATAAAAAGCTACATTGACATTAGATTGTGGTGTGTCTCAAGGTTCAGTCCTTGGACCAGTACTCAACATTTTATATACAGCTGACTTGGTAAAGGTTGTCAAATCATCCGGTATCAGCTGTCATTTGTAGGCCTTATTTCGATTTTTTACAAATCATCTTCAATGCAGATTTGGTTTATATAGTTTTTTTAAACAAAGCAAAGTGAGTTACTTAGTTGGTGTCGTATTCTTCATCTTATGTTTTTTTGGGGTTTATTGATAACTATTAGGACTGCTTCTGCAATTTTTAGATGTATTGTGTTGGTGTTTTGATAAATTATATTTGTGTTGTTGTCAAGAATTTGACGGATTATGGAAGTTGATTGTAAGTGAAATTTGATGGCTCCTTTTTATGTATGTATTATTAGACGTCTTGATAGTGAAAGGTCGTAACACCAATATACGAATGTTATATGATTACGCTTCAAAGAAGAATTGTCTTTAGGGGTGCAGTTGTTCTTTAGGACCAATTGTGATGTTTTACAATTCTTGTAGTATATCCTGGGTATGTATATTGGTGTAACATTTCTTTTTATGATTTGTTTGAGGACGACTTCATCTATTTTATGTGCCGTTGACATATGATTTCTGTGATATAGAATTATTTCTTTGTCATTTTTGTTTTTGAATATTCTAAATTAGAACTAAATATAATTAATACTAAAAATTGCAGAAGCTGTGCTAATAAATATCAATAAACCCAAAATAAACATCCAATAATGAATGTTACAACAATCATTAACAACTTGACGCCTTAATGCTAACTTCAATAACAATGAAGAACACAAAAATGACCACAACAAAGATGAAGAATACGACACCAACTAAGTAGCTCATTTTGCTAAAGAATTAATTTTGCTTTGTTTAAAGAAACTATATAAACCAAACCTGCGCCGAAGATGATTTTTGAAAAATCGAAACAGGGCCAGTCTGCATGACGAACTTGTATAACAACAGTTTCATTAAATTTTCATAATGAGCTTGAATGATAATTCTATTTTCAAGAAATTGAACTATTTGCAAAAAACTCTAATAAGGAAAATTGAAAAAACAAACGTTAAATTGTTTAATGACATCAATTTGGTTGAATGGACACAATACATACTAACTTCAATAACATTGAAAAACAGAAATGATATATATATATATATATAATATATATATATACATATATATATATATATATATATATATATATATATATATATGTTGGTAAAAGACCATAATTTATAGAATTATAGAATATATATATATATATATATATATTTTTTAACGTTGACTGGGGGAAGGGAATTTTCAAAAATGTTGAAATGTTGAGACCGGGGGAGGAACATTTGTGGCTGATGATTTTTTTTTGCTTTATAGTGTCATTTTTTTGTCAAAATTTATTAAGGCCTAGCGGATCGCATAAAATGGCTTGGTGAGACGCATGCGGAGTTTGCCCATCCCTGTCCTAATCACAAGCTACGATCGCAACAGCGTCTGAAGTTGCTAACTGAAAAAATACTATTTCAAGCAATTATTTAGTTGTTTTTACACCTCATCAACGCATTTTCTATTTGCTCTAGCCATCCTTTTTGAATATAAGCTGCCGCCATTTATTTGAAACTTCTTAGTAACAGTTTTTCTATTTAACTGCAAATAAACTACATTGTTTATTATTTATATTTTAACTTTTTATTGTTGTTGTTTATCAGACAAATTAAAAAAAAAATAAATTCAATTTTATTTGCAAAAAAAGCTAGCGGCCAAATCCTAACTTACAGGACCCAGTTGCTACGTAAACTCATCTTATTTGTCAATTGATTTGTAACGGTAGTTTTTTTCAAATATACGCCCATCAAATATTTTTTTAGACAAATTTTATTTAGACAAATCTGGGAGGCACAGAAGCTCAAACGAGCTTGTATGGCCAGCCTTACCAAAAATAAAAAATACACATCCATTATGAAATAACAGAACAGTTGAAATTAAAATGCAAATGTCAAAATCATATACAATTAAAACTTTCAGTAATATACATGTACAATAAATATTAGTTCACCTCAGCTAACTACCTTCATAGTACTGTCACTAAAGTATTCCGTGTAATCGGCTGAATATTCTTCGAGAAATAGAAACTTATACTAACCACGTCATCTACCCTCTACAACCACCAATCAAAACTACCACACACAACTTCTGTCAACGTAAACATAACTTTCAAGTCGTCACTCAATCAACTTATCAGGATAAGACCTTCATCACAAGACTCCAAAAATTTTTTAACGCAATCATTCGTTTTTTGTTTTATTATGTTTATTCTTTTTTCATGAACATATTATAATTTATTTATTTAGTCATTAATCAATTCATTTATTAGTTTCTAGTTACACTTTATTGCCAAGTTATTAAGAATTTTATACCCACTTGAGCTGAAATTTGTTAGTATAGGCGTGATTCAACAGATGCCCGTTTGTGTGTTCTCAATTTTTGTGTGCGTCACTTGACTGTTAAAATGAATGAAATCGTGACAGCCATCCTATTCTGTTTCTAGAATTGTTTAAAGAATTATTAATGTTCTCAACATATTGCATGCTTTATCAGTTTGAGTGTGATTCCACAAAAACCTAAAAAGTTAGCCAAAATCTTTCCATAGATGTTTACCAGCGACAGAAAATGACCAGAAAAAGTTTCAGGCGCTTTCCTTATTTCAACATTTTAACTGCCATCCAACTTATTCAATTCGGGTTTTTCACTATACCCGTAAGTGGTATAATACGCACGTGCGAGCTAACGCGCGCTTAAGTTCTTATTTCTGTATATATTTATTTATTTATGATGGTTTTATATATGTGTATAATATTTTAAATTTGTTATCCGCACACAGACACACACTCAAATAAATTATATATCTATATATATATATATATATATATATATATATATATATATATATATAGTTACATACATATATATATATTCATATTGTAATATAGAGCCTATAACAGCACTTTAATTAAAGCAAGATATTTGAAAAAGTTTTTGTCGAAATAATGAATGCAACGTTCTTATTTATGGTTGAATGTGAAGTGCAGAACTTTGCAGTAAATAACGTCATTTCTCAATGCATTCTTAAACATCAAACCTTACGTGGTTAAAATAAATGCTGTTCGAAACGTGTATTACTTTTAAAAATTATCAACTTTTCGTTGGAAAATGCATTAGGTTAATTTAAAAATGATTATTTATGTGGATGAATAAAAATATCTTAGAATCATCCATTCTTTATGGGACAGAGATTAATTTGATTACACTGAGTAATATTGAAGCGCGTGAAACATGATAGGAATTGGAATTAAAAAGAATGTCGTTATTTGTTTAGTTAGTGAGATAATTTTTATTGTACTCAAATTACAATTAATGTGGTTTGCATATGTTTTCCAACATTTTTATATAACGGTTATTGAATGTATCGTAAATAATTAGCACTTTTTGTGTTTAATCATGACGTAAAGAATAAAATGAATTATATATTCGTAATATGATTTCAAGTAAGATTATGTTATTATTCAATAATTCAACAGTGCATGATTTATTACATGCTTTATAATAACTCAAATACGAAATTGATGATTTGCAGATGTGAGGTTATAAATCAGCCATGGACCAAAACACTGGGAACGAGAGAATTTACTCCAAAACCAACTCCACCATTCCTAGTCCACTCGGCGTTGAAGAAAAAATTCAGAAGTGCCAAAGATGCATGAAAACTTTCCCAACAGCTCAGCAGTTGTTGCAACACAGTTTGGTGCACAGCAACGTTCGCAAGTATCCATGCCAATATTGTGAGAAGACATTCAAACAACTATCACATGTTCAACAGCATTTAAGAATCCACACAGGTATCAACTGTCACATTAATATATTTATATGTATATATCATTTAACATAGAAATGTTTTCAGCTAAAATCTTATACTTGGTGGAGACAAACAGTCTATAAAATGCACATACACGTCTGATGATACGTGATGCACTTAAATGATTCAACTTGTATGTTCATTGAGTTGCAGTTGGTTTTTACAACTTATACCACATACCATATACTTACATACTTGTACCATGTACACCATATACTTCGAATACCTATACTGGCCTTCGAACGTACACGCGCACATTTTCAGTGCGGTTTAGGGTCTGGTGCCATTCTTTAGTTTTCAAGAAATTTTACAGCTTTTATTTTTTTAAAGTTTATTAATAATTTTTATTCATTTTTAAAAATTTTCATAATTATTTTGATTACTTTTTAATTTTTTTTATTTAATGGATATGCATAATATTTCAGCATATTTTGTTTTACTGTCTGTGTGTCATATGAATCGTTTTGATGAGAAACCATTATCCCTGGCACACACACACATACACACAAACAAACATACACATAAACACAAACACACACACACACATAATATATATATTTCTGTATGTGTGTGTGTGTGTGTGTGTGTGTGTGTGTGTGTGTGTGTGTGTGTGTGTGTGTGCAGAGGACTTTAAATAATTGGGAATGTCTGATAGTACTTTTTGGCAGATGTTTTTGAATGGATTTTAGTGGTTCGGTATGGTTGTTGGTGTGTGATGCTTCTGAATGATGTGGCTCAAATTGATTTTATTTGTCGGTTTTCATTATAATGTATATTTAGTCGTGTATGAATGGTGCTGCATCAATTGTATTTTTTTATTCATTGATTTTTGGCATTTTCTCTACTTTGTTAAGTTGGTTGGTAACTTTTGTATTTGGTTGCTGGTTTTTTTGTTGGTGGATGGTTATTATGTATTGTTTCTTTTATTTATTTATATAATTATTTATATGTTCGTTTTTTTTTGTTATTCAAGCTGTCATTTTGTTGCTTTTTGTCAGCGCGTTTGAGTAATTTCATAAAAGACGCTATTACAAATTTTCCTATAATAATAACAACAACAATAATAATAATAATAATATTATTGTAAATTTATTTTTATGGCGCCCGTTACAATACTGCAGTATTGTAGTAATCTAAATAATTTAAAAAGAAGAATACGTGAATTAAATATAAACAAATTTAAAATTGAAACAAATGACTTGAGTAATGTTTCACAATTAAATAAAAAAAACAATTGCCAGTTCAAATATATATAACATAATCAACTGAAAAAAAATGAAATCAAACGACATATGTAAAGTTTTACAAGGAGAAGGCGATTGCGGATTCAAATATATAATATAGGGATAAAAGCAAAACAAAAATCAATGCATTATAATAGCATTATCTCAATAAGTAATGTAAATTTAAGCGATTCATGATCGTCACGATACTGTTGTTGTTGTTGGTGTTAAACGATCAGTCTCGAGTTCAGCGATTGAATATAAACGAAAATGTTGTTTGAGCAGGTGAGCCTTCAATTGTCTGCTAAAATCAAAAGACGTGATTCTACGTAGAAAAGAATGGGAGGCCGATTGTTCCGATTTTATAAAATTCAACACATTAGATAGAAGTATATCGTGAAAACAGGAAAGGTTCCAAATCAGAACCTTGGGGAAAACCATATCAAGATTAGAAATATTTAAATTATTGTTGAATAAAACTTATCGTTTGTTTACGCCCCAACAGATATGATTTTAACCATTCCAGCGCAACTCCTAAAATTTTCAGGGAAGGATAGGATTATGTTTTTCCAATAGAATTGCATGACTGAAGCAGTCGAACCCTCATAAAGTGGAGCAAGAATCTAAATCTTATGATTATTATTATCATCTATCTATCTATTATTATTATCTATTAATGCAAATAATTCTGATGGCGCCTCAATCAATGCGAACTCAGTCGAGTGATATTTTTTGAAGCACCAGTAATATTTAAGCGGAATATTACGTCGGTTCAAATAATGCACAAGCTGCCTATGAACAATAAGTTCCACTTCGTTTGATAAAAATGGTAGATTAGATACAGGTCTGTAGTTTGCGTAACGATTGCAAATTTTAACGACGTCGAAAAGCATCCGAAAGTTAAACATAAATTGATGATGCGAAAATTTGGCACTGAAAAAAAGAATCTTACAAAAATTGACGAACTGAAAATAAAAAGGAGGACAAAGAGAAAGACAAAGAAACCTCAAAAAAAAATAGACTAGGTGTCAGTAGTCAAAA